ATAATAAAATGTCCATTTGATTCCCTAGCCACTGGAAAAAACAGACCCTTTCAACACTCCTATTTGGTTAAGCAATTCACACACATAGTCATAGGAAGTACCCTATATATTATTTTAGCTGCTTCTCATCCTCTCAGCACGACCTTCTCACTCCAAAAACAAACAAAAAAAAAGATAAATCAATGCTCATGTTTGCTAGCTCCCACATAACTTCTTTACTTATAGTTCTCTTGACAAATCCAAATCCTTGCCTATAAAACTTCCATAACCAAAATCTTGCCTACTTTCTGCAAAATAAAACAGCACTGAAAAATACTCTTAATCTCACTCCATCCACTCCTTCTTTCTTTGCAAGAAAAGACTGTATATTGCTGTATGTTGTATTACCCATAGGCACATACTGTTGCCCATATTGCATCTTGTTGTCCATGAACATATTCACACCATATATGTATCAAAAGCACCGGAAGCTATGAGGTTTAGATATTCCCACCCCCCGCACCTTGTAGTACCAACTTTAGTGCATATTAACATTATACCTTATATTTACATAAGAATGGATATAGAAACAGCATAAATTATGTGCTTTTAATCTCCTCTAGAGTATTTGAACTATTTCTACCTGAAGTAGCTTTTCATACAAGTTCCTTTGTTCTGTTATTTTATTGTTGTTTCCCCCTCGTGCCATCTACATTTGTTTGCTGTCATGTTTTTTCTCACCCTCTTTAATGTTTTACTTCTTGTTTCTTTGGCTTCAACCATTCATTTGTATCCATAAATTTTGGGAAATGCTCTGCTGCAACTTGCCTCTCATTATCAGCCTACTTATCCACCAGTATCTCCAGACAGCTGAGCTTCTAAAGATAGCCCATGAGCATGTTCTCTACCATAACTGTAAGAAAGATGCACTAACTGCAAGAATATCATGGACAGACAGTCAAAATCCTCTGTATTCTGATAGTTGTAGTCCTATAAACCTAGGAGCATAAGGAAGAGCAACACCCATATGAGACTGCATTGAGCTGACCTAGCAAGAGGACAGGCTTAGTGGACCAGTAAAGCACAGTAGCCTCTACAAATACACTGTCCCGGTGACATTTTTCGAAAATATAAGGTGTTTTTTTGGTGGTGGTGGTGGTAGGTCATGTGTGTGAAGTCTCAATCTGCTTGACAAACTCCCTGAGGTAAACTACTTACTTTCTTTCACAACTGGTAATGTAAGTGAACACAACAAAGACTGTGGAACAATAAAATAGCCTGGAATAAAAGACATTCCAGTCATACTCACTAAAAACTGTAGTCTGACTCAGTCTTTGAGACAAAGGCTGAAAGCTTTGACTATTCTCCACAATGTTTAAAATTGCTTCTTCATTAATAAGTGCTTCCTCATCTTTATCAGTATGCATCCTATTGGATTCTTTAAAAGAAAAACAAAAAGCAAAGGGATAAAACTTCAGAGAGTCACAGACATCAATACATTATGAAAGCAAGCCACTTCAAAATGGATTTTAGTATTCAAGTATGTTTCCATTATTTGCTATGGCAATTTTAAAAAGGCTTACTCTAACAATGATGAAAATTAAAAGCAAAACTACTCTTCATTTTTTCATAACTGACAATCAGCTCTTCCTTGGCTTACTTCTGCTAATAGTATAAACAGCCAAAGCATGACATAGATTTATGCCTAAACAATTATGCTATTAAAAATACTCACCTTTGTTCATCTTTTTATCTTTATGCACTTCTACCATATTAGCTGGCGTACACTGAAAGGCTTCAGGAGAAAGTACCTCAGAATGTAGTGTTAGCTCAGCAGAGAACTCCTCTGATCCATTACTGTAGTCCACTGATCCTGACAACGTTCTAGTTAATTGAAAACCAATTTTTAAATGCATATTTAAGGTTTGCATAGAATACTATACTTTATGGCAAATGGCTAAACACTTACACAGAGAAGTCATTTTGCTTGAGGATTTCTTTAAGTCTCTTCTGAAAAAATATTTCACTCTCTGTTGCTGGCACAAATCCACGGTCTTTAAAATTTAAAAAAATATTTGTTATTCAGTTTTACTTTGACCTCTCAACACAGAGAGCAGCTAAAATTACTAATCCTATTAGGAAATGGCTCAAAGTTGAAGTGTCCGCTAATTTTATGTGCCAAATTTGAGGGCTGATTTTTCAAGTGTATTTAAACACTTTAAAATACTTCACATACCCCCATTGATCTCATTTGCAACTGCGAGTATCAACAGCATTTACAAATCATGTCGCAATTACACCAAGGTGAGCATTCAGGAAAAGAACAATCAGTGAACAATTTTGAAAGGTCTGGTTTATGCAGCCTGAATAACATTACACAGAAATGCAGGAGAAAATCCACAGTCAGAAGCAGTCTGCCTTAGCCAGGAACCTGCCTCTTTCCTTCTTGCAATCTTCTGGCTTACTTGCCAAATATCATTCATATTTTAAAAGAAACATGGCCTAGGTTTTACAGAGAATAGCTCTGTTCATTATGCAATTAATTTGCAGAGCACGGTCTTCCCTGTGCAATGAATTTTACATTATAATACAGGGATTTGCCCATCCTTTTAGAATTTTCATCTAACATCACCTTAGCTATAATTCCACAGAAATTCAAAGGAACTGCCCTTGTGCATAAACTACCACGGAAAGCTTCACAATAAGAGATTTAATTTTGTCAGTATTTAAACATTTTCCATCATAAAGCATGCAATCTTAACTGTCATTATCATTCATTCTGCCTAGAATGCTTTGTAACTAGCTGAATCAAGATGGTTTTAGACAAGGTTATGTATCTTGCTTTTAAAACCGGAATACACATACTGGGCAATCAGTAAGCTTGGAACTGAAACAACAGTACATCTAAAAAGCCCTCAAACTTGATACGCTGATTTAAATTCTGCCTCCTGCTTGCTTCTCATTCACAGTTTTTGATAAACAGCTGCACAATTTTTTTTTTTTTTTTTTTTTTTTTTACCTTGTGACTCAGGTGTCTTAATCTGAGAAGATTCATGTTTCTGTCTCCGTCGCTGCTTTTCATCTTCCCATATAGCTTGTAAACCAGGGTTCCTGCCAATCTGGGCTGAAATTCGCAATAATATATGAAGGGAAGTCTGTCAATGTGATGGAAAGCATTGTTCCCCCCAAATTAGATTCTGACACTCTTCTTCATCTCTTTCATCGTTCTAACCTGTTATTTTTTTAATTGCAATTCTTGCCTTACTCTAGGATTCAGTGTTATGTAAAAGTTAAGGTGTAACTTTATTCGTTTTCTAGATCTTCTGTTTGTTTTCTAGATCTTTGGCTTTTGCTGGTCTTCTCACCAAGTATGTGTATGTATGTATAGATGTATGTACATACACACGCATACTTGATGTTGATATTTCACTTACTCTCCTTATAGGTCTGAAACCATCTGTTATACATTAACAAAAAATCTCTTTCTATTGCTCTGACAATAGGCTATTCTTATAACCTGTTTTATTCCAGAGTTCATTCAATTTTTTTTTTTTTCTTTTAAACTTTATGAATTTGTAGATCAACAATTCACTAACACTGAAATCTGGATTGTGGCTTAACTAAGCTGAGCCTTAAAAAAGATGACAATATAGTTCCTGTCCTAAAACATTTTAAATGAAAAGTTATTAACACTTCACCTTCAATATCCAGTTGATTTAAAATGTCAGCAGCTACTGCATCCACCTCCAACTCACAGGTACTTTGTGGCTCAACACCTTTCAACATTAAAGAGCTGTGACAACATAAATACCACAGGTTAATTTTATCAATATGTTGATTTTGAAATGCATCATCATTGCTTTCTAACTGGACCGACATCTACAACATTTCAGGGGGAATGGGGATGAGTACCTGAACACAGTATTACCAGTTCTTATCCTCACCTGCAAGTCCTTATGTTAATGGTCATATACAAATTTAGTTAGATGAGAAATTTGCATATTCAACTGAAAGGGATTAGCTTTTTCTTTTGTGAGAGAAGTGGTAAACAACTCTACATACTCCAGCAATTACAACAATGTTGTCCTCCTCAAATAGAAGTTGAAATGTTCTATAGAACTCTCAGCCAATAGGACCATCTGCGTTCACATGATCTTGCACCCAAAAAACACAGCGGCAAGAATTTTTCTCTCTCATTCACAGTTCAGAGCAATGCAAAACAGTTTAACATTTCCAACTAAGGGAAGTGAAGCAAAAAAATGTTTTATTTTTCAGATATTTTTTTTTTTAAATTTATTTAGGGGGCTTAGGGGTAGCCTAGTGAATATAAACACGTTATTGGCATCCTGAACATGAGCAGAACTAAGGATAAATGGTTTGGTAAAGACTTAAAATACTAGAAACAGATGCAAGTTTGTTGTGTAATGATCTGATCATCTTCCTACTGCGCCTTTTCAGATCTGGTAAGGTCAGCGGCCTTCCATCTGTTGCTGTCAGTGAACTAATGTTAAGGAGTCCATGGAGGAAGCTAAGAAAGAGAAACCTTCTCCCAGGTTTATGTGAAAGCCTGTTTACCCTTTTCAAAATTTTTAGGGAAACACAGAAAATCCCCTCAAAGCTCCCCACGGTTAAAATATGCTATTCTTCAGGGAAAATATGCTATTGCTTAGAACTCTATTTAGGTTAATTAACTGGTGACTTACAATATCTACTTGTATTCCTACATTCCCTGACATACACAGAGCCTCAAAAATCTCAGCATGGAATATAAGATATAATCCATTAATATTTTCAATGCTCTCTATAAGCTTTGAATAGAAGTCACTATAGTGCAAGAAGGTAGTAGATGATGTAATTAAAAACTGGATGTCCCCGACACCTTCTCTGAAAATAAAGTATTTACCGATCTAGAAATAGTAAATGTGAAAGGAATGTAAAATTGAACTGCTTCACTTATGTTGTAAGAGCAAAAATCTAATGAATTCTCAGAAAACATCAGAGAACTCAACCACAAAAATATTTTGAACGTCTAAAAGGCTTCAGGGCATCATGTTCATTATCAAGAGATAAGATAGCACGCCAAGAAAAAAAAAAACCACAAACCAAAACTGACCCCTTCACCACATTCCCAAACTGTAATATTCTAGAAGAGAAAAATATTTACTTCTAACTCCTTTTGCAGAGGGCTATGGTACAGACCATCAGCAAACTATAGATTACGTGAAGTTAGGACTGAAGCTAGTTCAGACGTGCTCTTCCTGAAGAGCGTTATCCATGGGCAAAGCATGTAGATTTGCTCATTAGAGAGCTAATTAAAACTGCTAGGATGCCTCCTGCAAGAACGCTCTAAATATTTTGCCTGACTTTGAAACAGCAGAAGACCAACAGGTTCTCTCAAATGCACTGCAGACCGTAAACTGGTTTAAACAACCCAAACAGAAGGTAAAGAGCTGCTTTCAAGGCAGCTTCAGTGGGCTACTGCTTTATCATTATACCAGAACCCCTGAGATACTCAGTCCACGCAAAGAGTCCACGCTGTACGTGAAGTACAGAACAAAGGAGTACTTCTAAATGGGTGCAACATTTCTCCCGTCTCAATTCCTCCTGGCCTTCAGCTTTCCTTGCTTCCCCTGAAAGAACAACCCTGTCCTCCACAAACTGAGGTCCTACTGCCCAAAGGGCAAAGGCTGAGATACCATCTTCAAAAGAAGAAAGGGGACACCCCCCCTCCAAAAAAAATAAGAGGGCTACTCATCTGACGGTATAACACAATGTGAGCTTTTATTGACTGCTGTCCAGTTCTGTCCGTAGAATGGTGACCTAATATTTCTGAAGTGTATCAATGTATCATATGATTTAGTTTAAAGATACCAAACGCACTCTTTTGTGCACACAAAAGCAAGAATTACTTATTAGGTCCACAATAGTGTATGAACTTCATCAAGATTAAGAAAGGCACTGGAAAACAAATACTTTGCTTTGTAAGACTGTTAGGTGACAGTATCATGCACACAAAAAACCAAAATTGTTAGGCTATAACTACGTTATTACACCTGTATCTATTTGTCCACCTATGAAGAAAGAAGGTCAGTCAATTGAAATACCAACTATGTTTTTTATAATGCAGAAATAGCTTCCTGCATTGTTAGAGAGAACACTGAGACCTTACAAGGAAATCAGAAAATTATTTTTAACCATTAAAGAGTGAAGTTCTGAAAAAGTCCGCTTTTTTTTTTTTTTTTTTTTTTTTTTTTTCATCTCCAGTGGAGATAAAAAAACCCACTAAACTTACAGCTTGTTACCTTAACTGTTTAGGCAAAGAACTGGAGAAGACAGAAATAACCAGTGTTAGAAATGTAAGTAGAAGTTAAACCAGTCCTAGAATATTTATTTACTGGCACTTCTAAGGGGAAAGACAGAGAGGACTGAAAGGACATCTAGTTATTTGGTCATTGTCTCTTTCTATATATCATAGTAATAAAAAGTTCTATTTGTATTACTAGTTCAATTGCTCAGCTGATGCGTAACTTGACTTCTGGGGTAAGAAAGAAATATTCCCTGATGTAAGGCTGATAGGGCTTACTGTGATAACCTCAACCTCTCTACAGCAGACTCAGCTTTCAAGAATCATCTTTGCTCTCCTCCTGTACCACATTGGAATAGTGAAACTTCTATTGGAAAGTAAAATCCTGTGTTATACATAATATGAAACTGAGAAACAAAACAGAAATCTCAGCAATTGGATTTTTAATGAAGTGAGCGATACGAAAAAAGGAATAGGCATCCTGAAAGTCAATTTTAGAAACTGCCTGAAACTTAACATTTTGAAAGCATATAGTTTAAAAGCAGAGAAGAAAAAGTTTCCAGAATAATTTCTTGGCAGCCATACTTTTAAAATTTGTGATGTCACATTTTGTGGCTGCATTAATAGAGTAAATGTATTTTTCACTCTGTATGTAAATGTATGTTTCACTCAGTTACAGCAAAAGAAGGCAGAGCAGGGTATTTCTTTATTCTAAACATCCAAAAGCAGTCTGGCAGAAGTTGTGAAGTACTTATCACGTAGAATTCATTAACAACTGTAAGATGCTATGCATTAATATACAATTACTAATCCCTCCAAGTCAGCACTATTGTTTCAGAGTTATTGTGAGAATTAAGAAAGCATATCATAGAACTAGTAACACAAATGAAACCAAAGCAGCTCAGCCTTTTAGCAGAAGTAGACTGCCCATGCCCTAATGCACACTTTAAGGACAAGCCATTGCCATCACTCCCCTCCCTTCCCAATCGTGCCATCATCTGAGAAACAAGTCCATACCGTCATCAACATGCATACTTTTCATGTCATGCACTTCGGGTGCTCGTATTCATCAAAGTATTCAAACGGAGCCTGCCTGCACGGCAGGCGACAGGAACTGCAGGCAAGCCGAAACTTGCATTTTGATCACATAATAAGAAAAAACTGCAAGATCACTGGGAAACAAGAACGAGGGAGGAGGCTGCAAAAATTCTGTCTACTCCCTTCATGAAATCAAAGCGTTTCTGGGAACAAGGGAAAAGGGACCACAATACACAACGGTCATTGGTATCAGAAGAGTTTGATTTTAATACTTTCTTTTGCTAAATGACACATGTAAATGACCAGAAATCTGGTCAAGATCTGTCTTTGACTTGTTTGGTAGATACAACCGCAAAGCTCTGAGCTATCTACTTTCACTAATTTCCTCTTTAAAAACAGTCCAGAGAGAGAGAGAGAAGACAACTTTCTATTCTTTTCCCTTTAACTAGTTAGGACATTTTCTCAAAAAAAACCCCATGTCTTGGTTTTCCACATCTCCATCAAGAGCGTGGCCAGTGATTTGTCTTGAGAACTGATCAATATCACAGACAGAATTGGCCGAGAGCTTTCCAAATAATCAGATTTCTTATTTATTTAGAGATTCTAATATGGATTTATCCTATAAAAATAACACTAAATTCAACATTGCTAAATTCAAAACAAACTGGTAGTTGTCACTATAACTTAAGTCTTTTTCCATAATAATAATAATAATTTGAAGCATGTTCTTTGTCTGCAACTCACAAAGATTCAAATGATTTGGGCGATTAGAAACAGAAAAGCTCCTTTTGTCCAAGCTCTAATCAAACAGATATAAGGAGTCTTTCTGTCAAAAACTACAGTATTCCAATTAACATGGCATATTATTAAAATTAAAAATACTGAGCTAACAAGAGCCCTTTTTTGAAACAAATTTAGGATTTATCATCATAATTCTTGTTAACGTTTTCAGGATTAAGGCAGGGCTGGCAGTCAAAACTGCACACTCCAAAGACTGATGTGGAGGCTAATAAAGGCAATTGACATGTACAGTAAGACTTTCATAAGACTTGAAAAATGTCTCAATACAACCGGGTCATTAACTTGGCATTTAACGCCCTTGTCAAGGTGAGTTGCTAGACACTTGCACTAACAGAAGTCAGGGCAGTAGCACCACAAGCGTCTGCAACATCCAGGTAAGCCACAAAGGCCAAGAAGCCATTTCCTTCCACCTCAGGAAAAACCTCGAAAGGCATATGAAAGCAGAGCAGCTTTCACTGGCCCTTCTAACATTTTAATTTACTCTGAACAAAACAAAAACGTCAGAGGGAGAGGGAGGAGTACAAACTGTCCTGATGTACAGTTATTTAACATGATTACATGCTTCTTTGAGAACTATCTGATCTGAGTACTGTCAATAGCTTGGTCAGCTGTTAGGTTTGCTGATTTTGCTCACCTAGAACAAACATACA